GTCCTTTTGTTTCCTTAATGGCTTGTTCCTTTCCCTGGGGGAGCTTTTCCTGGCTTTTGTCCACCCTGCTTACCTGCCTTCACCACTTTTAGGCTTGGTTTGGCCCTAGGCCCACACTGGCAGAGGCTCCCTTAAGTAGCACCCTTTTCTGAATTTAACACGCTAAAATTAAGGAGACAGTAATACCTCCCTAACTCTCCTATTTTACCTTAGCTCACTACTCAGGTGAGGCAGGACAAGCATTCGTAGCTGTATCTGCACTTATAAACCCTGTGCACAGTTTGTAAAACTTTTCTCCTCCTCCTCCTCCTCCTCCTCTGCTGCTAGCGCTCTCTGACCCCGTCGCAAAAGAAAGCTGTATGCTGAACTTGCTGCTTTCGCTCCCGGAGCCCAACCTGGTCACCTTCCTTTTCCTCCTGGATCATTTGAAAAGGTAAGGCCGAGGCTCTTTTTCTCCAGCCTTCCCAGCCATTATGGTCAAGGACGCTCCAGAACATCAATCCACGTGACCTATTGTAAAAAGAAGTGGTGCCGTGGTTCTTGCGTGGCCTGCAAGGTCTCTGGATGGTCCCCACTTCATGGGCCGGAGCCTGTCCCCACCTGAGCCCTGCCTGGCCCTGCAGGAGCAGACCAGCAGGAGCTGAAGCCTGTCACTCAAGCATCTACTGGCAGAAGTACTGGAGGCGCTTAAGGGCTGCTTGGCCAACTCCCTTGTTTTTGTGTTTTTTTACTAGTTTGATAACCTCTGATTTTTGGTCCTTCACCTCAGGCTGCAAAATCTGTCCGGCCCGGTGTCCAAAACTGGACTGTGATTCAGAAACAAATCATTACAAATTGCTCCATTGCCTCCAGGATATGCCCAGATGGCCCCCCTTGGGAGTAATTACCCCAGTTTGAATACAACTGTGTTAGATAATAACTTACTTTCTTTTCTACACCTATCCTATCTATTGTTTCAGAGTTGCTGAAAAGGAGAACATCAACAAGATGTCACTTCACAACCTGGCCACCGTTTTTGGACCAACATTACTCAGACCGTCAGAAAAGGACAGCAAAATTCCTGCCAATCCAATGCAACCCATCGCCATGACTGACAGCTGGTCACTCGAAGTCATGTCCCAGGTAAAAGCAAACGGAGAGTCTAAGGCAGTGTTTCTCAACTTGACAGCTTGAAGATGTCTGGACTTCAATTCCCAGAATTCCCCCAGACAGCATGTGGAATGGAAGTCCACGCGTCTTCAAGTTGCCATGATTGAGAAACACTGGCTTATGGAAGCTTTGATCCTTGAATGTTTGCTGGGGTCCTCTGATCAACAAAACTCAGGGTTTCACAGGGGCCCAGACTTCTCTTAGGACCCATTTAGATTGAAGGGAAAATGAGGGAAGAGCCCCTAAGCCATATTGGGAGGAAAGGGTTTAGATCAGACATGTCAAACTCGTGACGTCACGTGACGTTGCGCAATGTATTGGGACTGTTTTGCCATTGCCGGCAATGGGGTGGGCGGGGCTTCCACGTGACGCGTCCGGCCCGTGGGCCGGCAGTTTGACACCCCTGGTTTAGATCATCCCTCTCTAGCTGATTACCATAATCCCACCTGGGGAAGCAGGCAAAGTTAACCTTTCAGAGCCATTTTATGTCCAGCCATTTCATATCCCCCCTTCTTACAAGGAGCTTAGAAAGGGGAAAGGCGGTTCAGGAGAAGAGAGCACGGCTCGCCCACAGCCATCCAATAACTGGCTGATCAAAGAAGATTTCAACATGGATGCCCTTCTGGGCCTAATTTCCAATGAAGCAGCCGAAAAGATTTGATAATGTTCATTTGTTTCATTCCTTTCTCAGAAGAATTCAGAAGAGGTTCTTTTCAGGAGATACCAACTAGGGAGGGAAGTAACTGAAAAGTACTGTAAATGACCAAAAAGAAGGGAAAAAGAATACTGAAACTAGAGAAAGTAAGATGGTAGCAAAGAAATGTTCCTTACCAAGGAGTTTGCTTGTCAGGAGGTTGTAAATCCTGAAGGGCTCTGATGTTTGCCAAACAGCTTATGCAGGAGTTGAGGAGTGAGACCACTGGAGCACTCTTAGAGCAAAGTCCGTGACTTGGCTGTTCCCGTGGCCTTGGTCCTCAAGCCCTGGACAAGCCATTTGTTAAGCAGGCAGAGGATCAATTACTTGGATTTGACTCTGAATCCTATTCATCAAGATGGACCAGTTCCAGTTGCTTTGAACTGTGGAACTATTAACCTTCTGAATTAAACAGTTGATCTTATTTCCTTGCTATGCCAGGTGTTGTAGACAGATGTAGCAGAGTAATCCAGGGCCTGTTGGATGGTGCAGTTTATGTGAACCCTTTGAATTAGAAGTTGTAAAATCAGGTGTGAGTCCCTTCACTGCCTTGCTTAGCAACAGAAATTCTGGTTCCAATGGTGGCCGTAAGTCGAGGGCTACGTGTCCATGAAAGCCAGTCAAGCTGTCCTTGCAAGTTGTTGTCCAGGCTTTTGAATGCCTGATGAACTGGAGAACCGCTGGGCTCTCCTGGCCCTGCCTGCCATTGCAGTTGCCCCCCCCCCCCATTGATCTGTCCCCCTCCTCTTATCTGCGTTCCAGGTTCAGGTTCTCCTCTATTTCCTGCAACTGGAGACGATTCCCACCCCGGACAGCAAGAGGCAGAGCATCCTCTTCTCCACTGAGGTGTAGAAGCCAGCTCAGCCGAGGAGGAGGAGGAGGAGGAGGAGGAGGAGGAGGAGGAGGAGGCTGGCGGTATTTGCTCCACCCGCCCCTCTGACGTTCCAGCCTTTCCGTATCCTTCAGGAGGGGAGGAAGCCCCCCTCCCTCCCCCTCCCTCTGCTGACCTAGAAGCCCTCATAGGAGGAAGCTGATTTTCTTCAGAGGAAGATTCCTTTCACCAGATCAGGAAAAGAACGGAGGAAAGCAAACCGTCTTGGGAAAGGAATGTGCCCGAAGGAATTCCTGGGAGGATTCCGTTGCAGTGGAATCCCTGTTACGTTTGGGAAGCTCTGGGATTCTTTTCTTCTTGGGCACCTTTGAAGAGCCGAAGGTTTTTCCTTTTATGGCCACTGTTGGGGATTCTCATGGAGTGCCGCAAGGATGTTCACCCATCATGGCCACTACTTGCAAATTTAGACCTCGATTTAAACAAGTTTCTTTTTAATAAGTAAGTAAATTAGGAGCTTCATGCACAATCAGGACATTTTTTTAAAAAAAGCTTTTCCTTGCCTTTTTTCCTTTGACTCTCTTTTGGTGGAAGGTTTTACCGAAGATGCACCATCTAATCACTTAGAGAACAAAGGCCAGAGACTGGAAGAGAAGGGGGTGATGGCCAGCTCTTAAGGCCTTCTCCTTTTTCTGTGGACCCCAAAAAATGGGAGGTGTGTGGAGAAGTTGAGGAGGTCTTTCAGGCATTCTAAAGACCAGAGAAGATAATCTGCAAAATCGCCCCTTTCATAAACAAGGACCTCATGCCCAGTTTTCTACCCGACTGCAGCAACGTAAGGGTCTACGGTGGGTTTCTCCGCAGTTGGCCCCAAGCCGGCCTCCCCCCCCAAGCAGCTAAACATTCCTCTGATCCGCTGGCGGGAATTGGGAGGGCAGGATTGGGCCTCTCTGCTCTTTCTTGGTTGGGACTTTGGAAAGACTTTGCTTATGGAAAATATTTTTTTCACTGCCACCCTGTTTTTGCTGGGAAAGAGAAATGTTTTGATAAGATGTTTTAATAACTTGTACAATGATGATTGAGGGAGCATTTTATATTTTTCAGAAATTCCAACAGTTTGTTTTAAGATTGAACAGGCATCGTTCATGAATTGTAATGCTGGAAAAGAATCAGCACTGGCAGTCAGAAACAGGGATTAAGCCCAGAATCCTCGCATAGGAAGGGATCTCTCTTTATGTTTCATATGGACAGAAAAAATGTCCTTATCCGTCCCATACAATCATACCACATAAGTTTTGTCTTGTTAATTGAAAGCCACTTTTACCGAGATGTTCAGAAGTGACTTGGAAGGCTAAAAAAAACATTCAACTCTGACTAACTGGTGAGAGACCAGGAAGCTAAACTGAAATTCTGATTTTGTTCAGAGACGTTATGAATAGGGACTGAGAAGCTTTCCCCACAGTTTCCCATACTTTGGGCAAGTAACGGAATTCTGCTTGTTAAAGGGGGCTAAAAATCACTACAGAAGCACGAGCCTCCATAGCTGCTCTGATCCTTGAGTTAAAATTCAGCTATTTTAACACTGGGAAATAACCCATCATGGGAGTGGCCAGCTTGTGGTGTCTGACTATCACAGCATTTCTCATACCAGAAAATATTTAAATAGGAATTCCATATTGCTTTTTCCTCCCAGAAGTCTAGAAGTTAGAACTCTATTCTGATGTCCTAGTTTGGATGGTGATGTACCTAGGTTTATGAAGATGAAATACATAGGCCTTTTGCAGACATGCCCATATATTTGTTCCTTAGTCATCCTTTGTTAAAACTGGATTTTTTTCTCCCAACTTTTTACCACGGAAAGGGGCTTTCAGACATGGAAGATCAAGCTGTCTGTGGCTTTGAATCACCTACAGGGTCAAAAAGCAGCATCTATCTTTGTGTCAGTTGAAGGAGAAGGTTCATCCACAGAAGGTCCCTTCTGAAGGACACCTCAGTGAATTAAGAGTTCTAAATAGGGGAGTCATTTATGTAAGATTTTTAAAAAACGAAGCTAAATGTGATCATATTATTACTATTATTTGAGGCAGCATTATAACCCTATAATGAAAGTCTAGACTGAAGCTTCCTCATTCCATCAGCCAGCCATATATTTATTCTTCTAAGGCAGGGGTCTTCAAATTTGGCCCTTTTATGACTTGTGGACTTCAACTCCCAGAATTCCTCAGCCAGCGTGTCTGGCTGAGGCATTCTGGGAGTTGAAGTCCACAAGTCATAAAAGGGCCAAGTTTGAAGACCCCTGTTCTAAGGCAACTGTTGTAGGTTATTCCATTATGAAGAGACAGGGGAAAGAGCACCCAGGTTGTGAGGACATAAAGTATTTAGATACCAGGTTGGTTCATCAGAACTGAAGGACCCCCAGTTGTCATCTAGCAGAGAAAAGGAGGATGCCTTTGGTCATCTTGTTGAAATGATTCAAGGCCACATGTTGGCCCAGGAGTTTCCTACACCATGCCTGCAGTGTTACCCTTTTCTGCTCAACCTTGCTCAAGGTTAAGCATCAGCTATTCACCCACAGAATAAGGGGGAATCCTCCCCAAATTCCCTAGAGTCCCAACAAAGTATTTGGACTACAATGGAAGGCATATACCTTTCCTTCTGTTCTGAATCCTCAAACAAGTATTGTAGGCTCTCCAGTCCTCCTTACAAGGTCCAGTAGTATCAAATTAACAGCTGGCCTAATGGGGTTGTAGAGATTGGGAGCATTAATAAAGCTCACTTGAGTCACTAAAAGTCATAACAGGTTTAAGGAAGGCCACAGTGTTGTTTTGTGAACTTGAGGCATGTCTTGAATATTAAAGTTTTAAGGGCTTTTATTTATTTATTTTATTGATTCCTTTAAGCCAGGGGTATCAAACTGCCGGCCCCATCATACTGAAGCTGCGCCCACCCCATTGCGGGCAATGCAAAGAGTTGCAATATGTTGCGACACGTCACGTGACGTGGCGAGTTTGACACCCGTGTTTTAAGCAGCACGATTGCTGAATGACTGCAGTTTCCCCCTTGCATTGTTATTCCATATCCAGAGCTGCAGGAATTAGCAAAGCCATCCCACCGAGGGAAATGGACCAATCCGTTCTGCTTGTCTGCCCTTTCTGGCATTTTTTATTTATATATAGTTGTTCTGCTAATATTGAGTTGATGAACCTAGATCAGTGATGGCGAACCTTTTAGAGACCCAGTGCCCAAACTGCAACCCAAAACCCACTTATTTATCACCGGATGCCGAGTGGGCATGGTTGCGGTGGGCATGGCAGACTGGGTGGGTGAGGCCAGGGCAGCCGGGGCCATTCCCTCGCCATCTCCGGGGCATGGCACACGTGCCCACAGAGAGGGCTCTGTGTGCCGCCTCTGGCACGCGTGCCATAGATTCGCTATCACTGACCTAGATAAAAGGGAGACAGTGTGTGTTGGTGATCTGCAAGAGGATTGCTTTGATATCCAGGCAAATTTTACATGCAGGCATGTAGGTATGGAAGAGATTGTATAATTTAAGCATTAATTTCAGTTTTAATTATAAACCTATGCTTTTCTGAAAAGTGATAATCTTGTGCTTCAGAAACGAATGCCTCAAATGGAACTGAGCTCATTTTCTTTCCAAGAAGTAGCAACATCAAATCCCTCAAGTTCCTCCAATCCCTTCTATTTTTCTATTATTATTTTTTTTGTGAAGTGGCTCCAAGAATAATTTTCCTTGACCCTGCTTTACTTTAAAACAGCCAGTGGCTGTATTTGTACAAAACACTGAATTGCAAAATAGCTGACTTATGTTTTAATCTTACATGAATGAACAACGCACAACTTCTGGCTGTTGCTGAATGACTTCCTGCTGGAGATACAGTCCCAACACCTGGAAGATGTTGCAGATGATGCAATTTTGTGCCAATCCAGCCAGTGGGATTAGTTTGTGGTTCAGTGTGTTATGTAAACCTAGGAAACTGGTTTGAATAAACCACGATTAAATTAACATTAAATGTGTTGTCCAAAGACAGCCAGTTACAAAACCCTCCCCCTCCCGTGTCTTTAACGATGAAATGATAAAGTCAAGAACCAATTTTACACAGCTTTGATTGTCCTTTCCCTGTAAGTTTTGTCCCTCGGCAAGTCTCCCCTCATCCTGTTTGTGCAAACCTTTTGGTATTCGGATTCTACTCTGCTGATCAAGGATCTACCTGTAGTTTTGAAGGTCACATCACAGTTGTCAGGCAGAAGCTTCTTTCCACACCAAGAGCTTCTACTGCATTCTATAGGAATGGACTACAATTAGGCAATCTAATTGTCCTCAAAGCCAGGTCATCACATGAAAACTTAGCCACCATTCAAATGTCCATCAGATAAGTCTTATTCACTAGTTTCAATTTATTTATTTAGCATATGGCATAACATACATGAACTAGCAATCTAGATTAATAAAACACAATAAAAAATAAATGTTAAAAGATCTATGTTCAAATACTAATGTCTCTAGGCCATCTAACCATTGAAGCGCAGCGTTTATATATTTTTAAAAATCAGATACTGGAGCAGCATATGCCCTTAAGTTTACAGCCGGTCAACTGTGTTTGACTTGGGAGCCCACAGTCACAGGGAGGGGAGGATGCTATGCCCCGTTTATACAGAGACTCCCGGCAGACGCCGTACGAGGTGCGAACCCTGTTCAGGATTTGTCCATTGCTAACTTGGTAGTTCAAAGCCTGGCGCCTTTTTCATTTATAGTTTCAATATATATGTATGATTACTGTTCATGCATAAAAGGAGAAAAAAGACACGGTGTCACTTTGGGAATATCACAGCATCCTAGAGTCACTGAGGTTCCACAAGTCCACTCATAAGATGAAAACAACCCTTGAAATAATTATACTGACCGTAACCCTCTATGGTTGATGCACGATCTTACCCCTGAATCCAGCCCATGTAGTTAGCTGTTGTAAACCTGGAAAACTCTCAATTGTGTAAGTCATATTAT